CTTAAGAACTTCTTCATATGCATATATGCATAGCCCAGGGACACAGACAATCGTGTGGTGAAGGCCTGGGGGGGGGGGAAGGGCTGGATGAAGGGGGACAGAGGGGATGAAAATGGGGGACATCTGTAATACTGTCAACAATAAAAAAATAAATTAAAAAACAACACTGGTACAATTCCATCTCTGTCCTTGAGCGCCAAGGTAAAATACATCCTTGTCATAAGCAACACACCTCGGGGCAGGTGGGGGAGAGGTGGACTTCCGTAGAAGGGCGGGGACATAAACAGCCTAAGGTGGAAGGCAGGACCCGGGGACCGGACGGAATGGAAGGCTGAAGATTACTACAGAAGAGAACGGAGAAAGCAGGAAGGGCTGAGGTAGCCGAGTAGTCAAGCAGCGGCTCGCAATTTCCCATCAATTACGGCTTTTAGGAAGCCGACCCCAGGCCGCGGCCGGCTAATTAAACCAGAACTCCGGCCATGAGACCCAAGCATCAGTAGTTTTTAAAGTTCCCCACGTGAATCCAATGTAAATCCAAGTTTGAGGGACAGAACAACAAAGGGGCGGCGACTGGCTGAGAGGAGGGGCGCGAGCCCCAGACGGCCGGGCCGGGTAGCCCAAAGGCTCCGCCTCTTCCTGCGGCCTGAACCCCGACACGCGGCTCCTGCACAGACAGACTCTTTTCATCACCAAGGGCGGCTGCGGCGGCACTTCACGCCCATCAAGAGAAAGGAACTTCAGGCTGGCAGGGGGAGAAGAAGGTGGCACCAGCGCCACGTTACCTGATCAGAGCCGCGACCCTCATGCTGGGCGCAGTGCGCGTGCGTGCGGCGGGCGCGAGCTTTGACGTCATCGCAGCCGCGCCCAGGCTGACGCACGGCGGGGCCTCAGCCCCAGGTGTTCGCTCCGCTGCCTGTCGGCGGACCGGCCGTGCGGTCCCTGCGGCTGCTGCGGGACACCTGGCCGGAGAGGATGGGCCACGTTGGCGCCTTGTCCCTGGGGCGGGGACCTCCCGGCCCAGAAAACATGGCGTTTAGGCAGTGCGTAACCACCTAAGTGAGGGCACTGAGGCTGCCGAGAGAAGGGCAAAGCCCGCGTCGCCGAGCCCGACCGCCGCCGAGACGGGTTGGTTTGGATGCGAGAAAGTTCAGAATCCCTTACGCTGCGGTGAGGCACCTGTGGCTGTGCAAAGGCAGAGGAAGTTTGCCCTTACTGCCGCAGCACCCCCAAGAAACGAACTGCGCCCTTTACTATTCTAGCTCATGTCTCCTCTGTCCTCCAGACCTCAGTCTGGAGCTAGCCCGGGCCCCTGGGTAACGGGGAGCTGAGGAGCCGCGTAGGGCTCGTCGCCGAAGCGCAGCGGCCTTGCAGAGAGAAAATCTGGCCTCTAGGTTCGCTCACCAAGTATTTATTGCCTTTCACGTGCCATCCACCGTGCTAGGCCCTTGGGATACATGCACGAATAAAAAACAAGGATCACGCCCCTCGTGGAGTTTATATGGAGGCGTGAGAGCAGACGATACAGCTAAAAAATTCTACGGCATGCTAAAAAGTGGTGAGAGCTGTACAAGTAGAGGTTGAGAGATGTCAGGGACGAGGTAGAAGGGCAAGTTGCGGAATTAAATAGAGCATCAAGGTGGGACTTATTAATAAGGGGAAAGTTGAACCAACTTAATGGGGGGGAGTTAGCTGCGTAAAACAGGGGTCTGCTCTGCACGGAAGAAAAAAGCTAGAGCCAAGACCCTAGGTGCGGCAGGGGAGGAAGAAACTTTACCCTCCTTTGTTTTTTTCAGGGTTTAATAATTAAATCTATGTGAGAACATTAACAAGAGAAACTAAGTTTAACTACCTACCTACATATGGGGACCCCACATACATGAGAGGTTCAGAGACAGAAAGAAAACGAAGTATATATGGCATTCTGAGCTAAGGATGAAGCGAGGCACCTTGCTCTTCAGAGGGTCATTGCATTAAGAAGAGAAGATGTTCAGTGATTAGGAGTTTACCTTGACTTATAGATAGGTCAGAAAAGGTTATCTCTGATAATCTTATGGGGCAAGGTCCCTAATTCAAATTCTTTCTGGTAATTAAAGGAGGCTGAGCAGAAGTTTGTATCCAGCCCACAGGATCTGGGTTGCCTTTAGCTCAAAATAATCTGCATACACAAAGCATATCCTGAACTTCTACAGTGCATTGTGTTTTGGTGGAAGAACAAGGTCAGCCAGCAAGAACAAGGTCAGCCGGCGTGGCTCGAGCACAGAGTGAGCAAGGCCAAGGGTAGTGGGAGGTGAGGGTCCAGTGATGGAGGGAGGGAGAAGATTATATTGGGTCTTAGCGTCATAAGGACTTTATCTTTTACTTTGAGTGAAGTGGGCGGCCATTGCAGGGTTTTGAAAAGAGGTTTATAGAGTGCTGTCTTGAGAATACAACTATTCAGAGAATACAACTATCCAGGAAAGAAATGACGGGGCCTGGAACCAGAATGTGCTAGTGAATTTGGTGAGAAGTGGGAGGATTCCAGCGCTGTGTTGAATGTAGAGCCAATGAAACTGGATGAGTTAGGAGACTTGAGAAAAAGAAAGCCATGAAGGATGCTGCCAATGTCGTGAATTAAAAAAATTAATATATGTAAGGAATGTAGAATTGAACCTAGTGTATAGGAAACATTCAATTTTATTATACTGTAATAGTCTCATTAACTCCAATACTCTTGGTATGGGGTTACTAGAGTGGAGACTGACAGTCTGCATACCAGTTTCAGCATCTAAAATGATGCAGTTTTAAAATTCTGCAATTGTGGATATTTACCAAATGAGTCAAGTATTTAAGGAGTGTGCAGTCTACTTGGGGAGATAAGACAAATGCATTTAATAAAAATTTACAATACATGAGGGCATATTTTGAAAGTGACAAGTATGTAATGTATATAGAAAGAGCCCCAAGAGGTGACTCCACAGGAAAAATGCTAGAATAAGGACAGAATTTGAGAGGTTGGCAGAAATGAATATGAGGTTAGTAGACCTTACAAATAAAGGTAACAGACATGTGAAGGAGTCCACAGTATGTCCTCTCAAAATCTGCAGCTTTGGCATATTGATTATTTTAACTTACAGTTGATTGAGAAACAGCGGATGCAAGAAAAAACTGTGACCCTCCTTTTTATTTCTGAAAGCAGGAGATAAAATTCCCATGTAAAAGGTGCCCTCCCTGTCCCTGGAGGAAAGAAGACATTCTTATCACCAGAGACAGAATCAGGGAACTGAGGCGGAAAGGAAAGAAATCTGTACAAATAAAACTTGTTAAAATAACTCTTTTAGCCCCTCCACATAGTTTAGTTACTTTTCCACAATTGCTTCTTTTTGTTCAGCTTACTATGAAAGCATTTGTGTTTTGCCATTTTTTTGGAGGGGGGAGGGCCTTAATTCTGTTGTGAAGCCTCCTGTATATATGTAAGAAATTTTAATAAAACTTGTATGCTTTTGCCTGTTCCTCTGTTTTACGTCAGTTTAATTCTTATACCCAGCTATATACCAAAAGAGGGTAGAAGAGAATTTTTCCTCCCCTACACAGAAATGAGTGTGGTGTGCTGAGCCCCAGTGGAGAGACCAGGCCCATGAGTGGTGAGGGCATATTGAAGAGAGGGGAAGATAGATTGGATGGGCAGGATGATGCCAGATTATTCAGGGTCATAGAAAATCAAAATGAGGTATTTCAACACCAGGAAGGTCACTCTGGTATGTTTGCCATCGTTTCTAAGGAGATCGTGTGAATTAGAAATAATTAACATGGTGAGTGATTTTGATGAAACAGATTTAGAACAACCCCAATGTCTCCTCTACATTTTCCACCAAGGAATATCTTTTTCTTGCCACTTGCCAAGAGAAGATGGAGAGAAGAAATACTAAGATTCTCTTCCTAAAACTTCATCCTTAAGATTATGATGATTTTTGTTTCTCTCTGGCAACTAAGTTTTATAAGCTTTATTTTAAGACATTCTCAACAAATAAATATATTACAGTTCTTATATCCTGGAATTAAACTATATGTTAGCAAACATATTGAGACTATTCTCCAAGGGCACCCAGTCTTTGGCTTGATGGTGTTGCTCTCTTGACTCATCCTAGTGCCTTGGTATTAAGTAATTCCTTTTTTTTTTTTTTTTTTTAATATATATCTTTATTGATTTCAGAGAGGAAGGGAGAGGGAGAGAGAGAGAAACCTCATTGATGAGAGAGTTATTGATCTGCTGGCTCCTGCACGCCCCCCACTGGGGATTGAGCCCAAAACCCGAGCATGTGCCCTGACTGGGAATCAAACTGCGATTTCCTGTATCATAGGTTGATGCTCAACCACTGAGCGACGCTGGCCGGGCTTAAGTAATGTCTTTTTATTAAGTATCACTTCTCCGGTCCCCCTCACCCTCTTAAAGGACTGTTTTCCTAACCATCTCTCCTCTCCTTTTTGAAGCTTTCAATCTGAATTTTGTCACTTAATAAAATGATCTGGTTGCCCTATTGTAACACTACTACATATGTTGTGTCTACTTAAAAATTTTTATATTTCCTCACATTAGCACCTCCCTCTCAGAGTTACCACCCAAAGGCTCTGCGCTTGAATGGACCATCAGGGCCAATGTACAAGTAGTGGGTTCAATCTGTTCCAGCTTAATAGACGTATCTGCAGTTCTGAAATCAACATATATCAGAATGGCCTTAACCCAGCCACCAGCTGTATTCTTAGAACCATATATATTTGTAGAGGCGTTTTAAAAATAGCTGATGGAACAAATCAGAGCAATTCTTGACCCCAAAAAGAGTTCTATTAGAAACTAAAGGTTAGGTTATATTCTAACTCTTCCCACTGAAGACCTTCCTGGAGTCATTCTAATCACCTTATGCGGGTGTCATTTTCTTTTGCTGAAATTCGAAAACAACACTGTGTCAGTTTCAGTCCTCTGAGAAGCAAACACCAAGAAAGGATTAGATGTGCAAGAGATTGGTTAGAGGAAATGACCAAAGGATAAAAGGAGCCCCGGCCCGCGTGGCTCGGTTGGTTGGAGCATTGTCCAGCACACCAAACTGTGGCGGCTTTGATCCTGGGTCCAGGCCCATGAGGGAGGCAGCCGATCAATGTTTCTCTCTCTCTCCCCCTCCCTTCCTCTCTCTAAGATTAACATTAAAAAAAAGGAGAGAAAGGAGGAGAGGCAGGGCACCTGAGATCAGAATGCACATTGGAATCCGGGAAAGCAGACAGGAAGGAAGAGCGAGTGCAGAGAACCCCAGGTTGCAGCATAATCCTGAAAGTCTCATCCACACCAACGGGGAGTCCTGAGCTAGAGTTGTCCACTGCAAGCTATCTAGTAGTAGGACACTTTTAATTCTTTGCATCCAGGAGCCAGCCAGCAGGGAGAATTGACTCTGATTAGCAGGAAGAGATGGAGAACCCAAAGTTGGTGAGGAACAGCACCGTTGTAGTGTTTCTACTGTCCTCAGTCACTGTGCTCACTCACTGACCGAGAGCAGTGCAGGTAAAGTTGGGTCTAGTGCAAACTCGGGTTGGGTCCGAAAGTGCTTCAGCTGGAAACCATCAATCAGTTCATAAAAATGCCCCTGGCTGATTCCTATGAGCCCCTTCCTGTTGCTAAGGGTAAACTTAGAAAGGGAAGATTAACGGGACAAACTATAGTCCCTGGCATCGCAGTTCGTTTGGGGCTATTCTTCTGTTCTCCACTATGCACTCGTATCCCCCCTCTCTCAGCTATGGCCTCCGCAGATCTTGCTGACTTACCTGGTCGTACCACCTAAACATTCATTCCTAAGGGGTCTTAGGCTGT